TTTATAAATTGTGTGTAGGGATGTTTTTGGGGGGGGGGGGGGGGGCGAGAGAGAGACGTTCGTATATCTCCATGTGTCTAACGTGGTTGGGAAAAAGAAGGTATTGAAAAGGGGAGTGGGGCACTGAATTACTCTTAAATCAGTGGTGCACTTGTTATGGGAGCTCACACTGGAAGCTTCTTCTGTGCCGTTTTAAGTTCTATTGCTTGATGAGTTTTCAAGTCTGACTGTGTGCACTGTTAGTGTGCCAGACTCCAGCCTGTGGTAAATCCAAGTGGCACCATGTTAATGGTAAAAGCTCATCCCGGGTGATATCCGTAGACCCTTTCTTGTCTTTCAATTTCCAGTGCTTTTCTAAATGTGAAGCTCATGCATCCTGCTGTAGCAATTTGAAATAAGGGAAAAACTTGAATTTTCTTCTTTTGTGCACTCTTCAGTGATTCTGATTTTTAGATCTTGTTATCCTAGCTATTGAAGGGAGAGAGCTGTTCCTGTGTGTGATCACTTGCCAAAGCAGAACTTTGGTGTTGACAAACCAGACAGCTTTGCAGTGGAAAGTACAATCCTTAAATGGAAGGGGTTGCTACTTACAGGTGTGCATCATCAAGCTTTGATTGATGTTTCTGTGCACTATTTCTGTGCTGAGCCTGGTGCCTCTCATCTTCTCAGCATGGTGCTGCAGCTTCTTGCTTAGTATGCCCTGAGTTCTGTAGAAGAGTGTTACGAGGCTGGAGGGAGATTGTTGTGCTGAAACTATGAGCTACCTGCTGCCTTGAGTGATGGGTGTGTGACCATAGAGAAGCAGAAGAGTGCCCTTGTACCATGTGGGAGAGTTGAGTGTGGTTAGTCCTTCCCGCTGGGAGCTGCTTAGTCCTTGCTTTGAAGGTATATTCCCATCCGTTAGAGGAGCACACGTGTGCAGCACTTACTGCTAAGGTGTGTATTAGGGAAGTGTGGGATTAGGGATATAGTTAGGGTTATGAGACCACAGCATGTGTTAACAGTCACTGAATGGCTTCCCATTAGGGAAATGTAAATTGAGTAAATGTAAATGTTTCTGTAAATGGAGTTTCCTTTTTATTCCCATTCAGATTAATAAGCTTCAAAACAGTGGTTGATACTTGTTTTGGGCAATCTGTTTGAACCTGACTTGCAACGGCTTTGGCTGCCTTTTTGGCCTCTGCGGAGTGGTGGGAGGGTTGTGTCAGGCTGAGTTCTGAGTGACAGGGATGGAGCCCAGCAGGCTTTGGGTTTTGCTTCTGCAGCCATCTGAGGAAGTTCAACACACCCTCCTCGCTTCCCTGCTGCAGAGTGTGAGGTGTTAGACCTTGGTGGGTCCCTGGGAGCTCTTACAAAGCCACTGAACTTAGACTGCGTGCTGCTCAAGGTTTCTGCTGTGTCTGTCAGCAGAGTCTCCTAGAGCAAATGGTAACAGATGCACCCCTGGCAAACTGTTCCCAAATGCTTTGACAAAACTGGTAAGTTATTTGCTGTGTGTGTCTGCATCCACATCAAGATTCTTGTGGGCACACTAATATCTGCTGACAGCCTTTGTGTCTCAGATCATGAGTTGATATGTAGGCTGATTTTTTTGGCAGGCTAGATGCAGCCACAGAGCTTCCTTCAGTAAGACTGTAGATTGTAAATCTAGTTGTTTTGGTGGTAGTTAGCTTTCCTTTCTGTTCCACTAGTCTCCTGGCAGAGAAACTAATGAATTTTCTTTTTAGTACAGAGAAACACCAAAGATGAACTTGCACAGTTCAAACAGATGGTATTAATTGACCTGGCTTTGTTTTACTGGCTGTAATCCAAGGAACAGCTGCAGAAACTGTTGTATCTGTATGTAGGTGATGAGCCCTGGCAACAGTAAGAATGGCTGGGGATGATGATACCTGCTCCATGACGTGCTGATCACCTGCTTTTGGCTTAGATGAGCCTATAAATCACACATGTAATTAAATCAAATAGCTGCATAATTGGCTTCCTATGAGTGCTTGCTGCACTACCCTTTGATAAATTGCTAAAACCTTATTGGAAATCTTTTCAGCTTTTACAAAATTTTGAAAGTCTATAATCATTTAGCTTTATTATAATTCATTTTTTTTCCTACTTGTATGATTTGTGAGGTCTGCTGAAGTGCAGCAAGTGTCAAAACTTTGTTTGGATTTTTAAGAAGGGCAGTTCAAGTGAGTGAAGAAACTTTACTCCGGTGGAGTGCCCTGAGTTGAACTGAAGTTCAGCTGAAGATAGCCAAAAACAGCTGTTTGTGTGGAACTGTAAAGCAAGATGGTTACCACTTTCATGAGCATAAGCTAGAACATTAGAAAGACGTAACCTTACTTTATTCATGCAGCAAAACAAACTAAGGTTTCTAAGTAAAACTTCTGGCATGTGCAAGTTAACTCTCCATCATAAGATACAACTGTATTACTATGACATTGCAACTCTGACAATTTGTCCAGACCTATTATTTGGTGTGAAAAACATTGTCTTCGAATGTTCAGATTTTATTAAACTTGGCTACCTGGTGTATTTTTTAAGATATCTTGTTCTTAAAACGTGTAACCAAATTACTTGTACTTGGTTTTTAGGCCCCTGGAGGAATTGCAACACCCCTTGTTTATGGCCAACTTCTAGCTTTATACCTGTTGCATAATGACATGTAAGTGGCTTGTATTAATCTTTAACTTCAGATACTGAATTTGTCACTATTAGCTTGAGCTGTAGTTGCCAGAATATTAGTAATTGGTTGTGTGACTAACAAAATCCATGTAGGCAGTGCTGCTTTTTTAAAAAAAAAATTATTTGTGGAATTAAGTCTTTCACCCCTTGCTCTGTCAGGAAAGTTATTCTCCTGTGTTTGCTCTTGCCCACCTTTTTGAACTGTAGGGAAACCGATTGCCTTTAGGAAGAAAGTTCCTTAAATAGTGAAATTGGCTCCTTTGGAAAGTGTTGAACACTTCAGTGTTTTGATTTGTAGCTTTTCAAGGTTGCATTTGTTTTGAGTAAGATTGCATGTTCCTCTGCGTGTCTTAATTACAGCAGGGTAACTCTAAACTGTCCATGTTAAAAATGAGGGATGCTGTTGGCTTGAATGAGCTAAATCTGCGTGAAGCAGTAATCCTTTGAATTCGGTCTGGTGGGTTATTACCATGTCCCTGTGTGAACTTGATTCACTATGTTTAGGGTTTTATTGAGAAATTGCTGATTCAGGCAGAATAAATGACACTGCCATGTTTGATTATCAAGCCAAAGTAAGCTGTTGGTGTGGGGATTCAAAGATTTGGGTGTTTTCTTGCATTGTAGATGTATATTCTTTCAGGGCAAATTCCCTGAATGCTGATACTGAGTATTAGGTTTAATGCAGATAACCTTGCTTCAAATGAATTTGAAGTTTTAGAATTGTGCTTTAATGAAAAGCCATGAGTCTTTTTCTCTATTTAGCATTTTAAATCTTTCTGAGAATGTGTAACCATTTCAGTTTGACTTCTGTGCTCTAAAGGTCAATGACTAAATATTTCAATATGTCCAAATATCCAGAATGAATGTGACAAAGGTGGGTTGGGAAGAACATGCACGAAACAGTCTAAATCTTTGATGTGCAAAGCGAGGTGTGGGCACATGAAGAAAGTATTTTTGTACTATTAAGTAGAATAAAAATATCTTTAAATGGTGCTTATTTCATCCTTTTTAACTTTTATATTTGTATGCTTTATAATGTACATAATATATTAATATCGGTAGTACACGTATATAATTTATAAATACATATGCATATACTGGGGGTGCATGCTCAAAAATGTTTGTCTGTTAGAAGTGCGTAATCAAAGTTTGGAGACCACTGGTCTAAATGACTACTGACATTATGAAAAGTTACTATTTGTACATGTGTTCATCAAAGATGCAGCCATTCCAAAAGTAAAACTGCAAAAGTAACTTCTGTGAAATGCTGCCTAGGGTAGATAAATGAAAAACCTTTTCTAAACTGGTGTTAAATGAGGCAGTTAATGAACTATTTGTTTTATTATGGCAGTCATGTTGTCTACCCGAGAGTAACTTTGTTTTTCTACTTCAGTAGGCGTAGAAGGAATACCTTAAAGCACTGAGGCTGTTAATTATAGCATCTCAACAAACCTTTTGGTGTCTCCTTGTAGCAAACATTTGGTTACTGAGAAGTATTTTTAACTTAATTTTTTTTAGGAATAACGCGCGATATCTTTGGAAAAGAATCCCTCCTGCTATCAAATCTGTAAGTACTTCATAAAATGCCATTTGATACTAAACCATTTTTTTATAAGCTTGCAAATAATGACTTTTTTCCCCCAAGGATTCTGTTTGGTGAGTAGCCGTGCGTTCAGTTCTGTGCTGTGAACTGCTTGCCCAGTAGATGGCATGTTGGTCTTTAAGATCTCCTAGTTGCTCATCTGTTACCTCTTTTCCTTCCCAAATAATCTGGTGCAATAGAATTCGGTCAATCTGTAGACTTCTTAGTAGAAAGCCTTATGATAAAGGGTAGTCAGCTGGAGAAAAGCAATGGATCTGACTCTGGGATGGGGGTTGCATTCCACATGAAGGTGCAGAATACCTTGTGTAATGAAAAGTGACTTCAGATAAGTTGCATCTTCAAGTTGATTAACTTTCTGAAGGGACTTGTTTTGCACTGCATTTGGATCAAAGATGCATTTTGAGGATTTAGCTAAATATAATGCCAGAAATGCTTCCAGACTTTACCATTGTTAGGTTTTCAGTCTGAGGTCATATTTTACAAGGAAACAAGTGTTCTGTAGTCTTGTATTAAGAAACATCATGGTCAAGATGGGACCTGTCAGGTGGTTCTGAAATAATTTTCTTTCTCTTTCAAGAAAAAAGTAGTTACATCAGTTGAGTCAGTAGTCATCTGGACCAAATTTTACTTGGCCTTTCTCTGAAACCTGCTGTATTTGTTGCACAGCAATACTCTGACTAATCGGGCTTTTTGGTGTAACTTGCATTTCATGTGAAGCATCATTCTTGGTGGGGGAAATGCATTGCCTGAATTATTTTGAGAAGGTTACGCCTCAGAGCATAGTATTTTCTTATGTGTGTGTGAATCTTCTGCTAATTGAGTCAAGTAATGATTAGTATGAGTCTTAATTTCAGAAACAAATCGGTTCTCCTTACAATTGAAAATACTACTTTGCCCAGTTTGGTGTTTGGTTGCTATTCTGACAGGGTGTTTTGGAGTCTAGTTGACCAAATGACAATGTGCAACACAGTAGAAGTGGCCCTTAAGATGAGTAGTGGGAGAGCCATTGTAGTGAGTATGGCACCATATTAAGTGTGACCTATTGTCGACATTTCAAGGCTTTCAATTTGAGAATTGCCTTCACTGTGCAAACAGCCATTGCACTGTGTAAAGGCTCTACTGAAGAGGCACGCATCTCTCTAAGCAGAAAATAAGCTGTGCCTGTCCTTTTGCAACTCCAGTCAGCAGTCTGAGTGCAAACTATCCTCCATGATTATTTTAGCTGGTATGTCTTCCTGGATTGGTATAACTGACATGTGAGCAGACTTTGCATATGTGGGTGATAAAGTTTTGGCAGAGGATGGATCAGGGAGCTTGCAGCAGTGATAACCTGCTAGAATAACATTTCCCAATGTTTGTCTGTTCATCATTACAGGTATTCTGAAATACTCTTGCAATAGGAAAAGGAGGGGAGTGGAAATGGGTTTATACAGAGTGGTCACTGTAGAGAATACACCATTCTGGATTAACTGGTTTTTTTTTTTGTCACAACAGGCAAATGCTGAGCTTGGTGCAGTTTGGTCAGTAGGCCAAAGAATCTGGCAGAGAGACTTTCCAGGAATCTATACAACAATCAGTGCGCATCAGTGGTCTGAGACTATTCAACCAATCATGGAAGCGCTTAGAGGTAGAAATTGAACTCCTGTAGATAGCATGGAATCATACGTTGCCTTAAATTATTTGCGTGCTCAAACACAAATAGACAAGTAGACAAATGACTGCTTATTATGAAAAATCAGAAGTGATCAGGAAGATTGTTGCTACAAGTTTTTGTAATTAGCTTTTTATTTACACCTGATACCTAAATTCTTTTAAGTAAAACCTACAAAAACTTGGCAACAAACTAAATTGTTTTTGTTAGGACTGTGTGTGTGATTGTATATTCTTTCATATTGGAATTTCACACCATATGTTTTGTTCTGAAATGGCAAAATAGACCATTAGTTATTCAATTTTATCAGACTTCTAACCAGTAGTCTAGGGAACTTGGCTTGGCATTTCAGAACCTTGTGACACGAAAAGGTTTTTCTTTTAAATGTGGCTTTAGACAAATGTTTTAGTTATAGACTGTGCAACAGTAACATGCAAAGTCTTACTACTAGAGGGCAGTACAGACTGCTAAAAAGCCTTCCAAAGTATTTTGCAATAACAAATTCTCTGTAGCTTTAGCAACAATTGATTTGCAGATGCCTTGGTGTCAAAGCAGTTGTGGTTAAAAAGGCATGAATAGTTTGACTGATTGCTTTTTCATGATTTTTTTCTGATTCTGAACTATTTGACACACTAGCTTATTGCAAATGGAGAATGCCATCGGAAGCAGAGTTTCCTAAACCGGTTTACATACTGGTGGTAGTACCCAAGATGCTGCAGACTGCATTTGGAAGTTAAATGTGGTCTCTGAGAGGTTTTGTCCTGGCATAGAGCAAGCTGTTGTCTCTGGCTGCTGACTGATACTTCAGTGAATTGTGGGAAGGGAGAGGAAACAAGTGCTAGCTTTAAGGGTGGTAGTGATTTTCCAAATGTGTTGGGATTGGAAAAATTTTCTCAGATTTCCTAGTTATGGAGATTAGTCTACTGTCTGCTTACAGTGTTTATCTCTTCTTAGATGCAACTAGGAGACGAGCCTTTGGACTGGTTTCTCAGGCATATACCTCAATAGTTGCAGATGATTTTGCAGCCTTTGTTGGGCTTCCTGTAGAAGAAGCTGTGAAAGGTACTTTGCATTTATTCACTGAATAGTTTTTCTACAGATGATTGAGATCAGAGAGCTGTAAGTGATGGTAAATAGACACATGTATATAAATTGAGACTATTATAAAGAGAAGTGATGAGGTGGTGAATAGAGATAAATGTCTTGGTTCTGGATAAGTGTTTGATTTTATTACTTGCCACTAGTTACCATTGGTTATCCTCCCCTTCTATATGTAGAAGTGTTAAAGCAATTCTGCAATGAGAGAAGACTGAAGGTAGTGGGTTAACCTAGTTTTGTGTGCTGCTATTACTTTCATGAGCTTATTTGTCAAACTAAATGTCTAAATGCTTACAAGAAATATGTCTTAGAGTTGTGGCATATAGGCAGTGTACTGAGATGCTTTTCTACTGGTCTTAATGTGCATCTTTATTTTGCATTTCTAGAAATTCCATAAGATATTTGTTCTTACAAATGTATAAATGCCTTTTCAGGTGTATTAGAACAGGGCTGGCAAGCAGACTTTTCAACTCGTATGGTAATGCCTAAAAAGCCAGGTAGGTGGAGCTGTTATTTCATTAGACGTTGAGTTCAGCATTTTCTAGTAATGGGTTGTTAGTTTTTAATTAAAATTTTGCACAATATTCTTTTAGATATCTTTTTACAGTGGCATAAGCCCCCATAACATGGAAAGTTTATAAAATGTAGGAAGTACAAAGTAGTGGGTTTGGTTTGGGGTTACAAGTAGTTTGGATTAAACTACATCCTCAGATTAACATTTTAAACAAAAGCAGACAGGATATGCTATGATTTCTCCTGCTCCTCCTCTGCTGCTGGCTCTGACTCAGTGGAATGTAAGTTGGATGACCTCAAATGACATGTCTTTATTAGATTAAGATGAGTAAAAATATACCATTTTGAACCTGAGATTTTTCCAGAAGAAGCAGAACTTCCTTGGGCAGGGATCTAGTGGATCTTTGTGTTCTGAGGAGCTCAAGTTGTTGCTATAATTTCCTTTGCTTTTTAAAACTTAGTCTACTGGATCTTTTCTTCCCTGCCATGATGTTGATAACAGAGTATCTGTTCCTGCAAAGCTCAGCCTGCAAAAATAGCTGGGTTTTTTTTCTAAAGCAGTATCTATGGCTGGCTGAGGCAAAAATAAATGTTAAGCTATGAAAGCAGAGATGAAATGACTGCTCTTAAACTGCACAGTGCAGCTCTGGAAGAAGGAGCTGAATTACAGGGTATCTAAAAGGGCAACATTTATTAGTCTAAGAAAATACACTGTTTGTATGGGCAGAATTTTTAGGTGTTCAGAGCCCAGAACTTCATAGTAAACATGTGCCAGGCAAGGTGTTGAAATTTATCCCTCAGGGTACATAACCAACCAAAGTCCTGAGCTTTTGCATGTGATCAGTTTTTTCATGAACTGGTTGCAAAATATTCAGTGCTTACAAGTACTGAGAGTTAGTTACATAGAATAGAATCATAGAATAGAATCATAGAATCATTGAGGTTGGAAAAGACCTCTAAGATCATCGAGGGTTTGGTTTGGGGTTACAAGTAGTTTGGATTAAACTACATCCTCAGATTAACATTTTAAACAAAAGCAGACAGGATATGCTATGATTTCTCCTGCTCCTCCTCTGCTGCTGGCTCTGACTCAGTGGAATGTAAGTTGGATGACCTCAAATGACATGTCTTTATTAGATTAAGATGAGTAAAAATATACCATTTTGAACCTGAGATTTTTCCAGAAGAAGCAGAACTTCCTTGGGCAGGGATCTAGTGGATCTTTGTGTTCTGAGGAGCTCAAGTTGTTGCTATAATTTCCTTTGCTTTTTAAAACTTAGTCTACTGGATCTTTTCTTCCCTGCCATGATGTTGATAACAGAGTATCTGTTCCTGCAAAGCTCAGCCTGCAAAAATAGCTGGGTTTTTTTTCTAAAGCAGTATCTATGGCTGGCTGAGGCAAAAATAAATGTTAAGCTATGAAAGCAGAGATGAAATGACTGCTCTTAAACTGCACAGTGCAGCTCTGGAAGAAGGAGCTGAATTACAGGGTATCTAAAAGGGCAACATTTATTAGTCTAAGAAAATACACTGTTTGTATGGGCAGAATTTTTAGGTGTTCAGAGCCCAGAACTTCATAGTAAACATGTGCCAGGCAAGGTGTTGAAATTTATCCCTCAGGGTACATAACCAACCAAAGTCCTGAGCTTTTGCATGTGATCAGTTTTTTCATGAACTGGTTGCAAAATATTCAGTGCTTACAAGTACTGAGAGTTAGTTACATGTGGTTCTTTACCAAAATTGTGTGTGAGAACTATTTTTGAGGCAAAAGAAAGAGGCAGAAGGTTGTAATCTGTTTTGAAGCTGTGTATCTAACTAGCTAAGCCTTGGGTATTCTGCTTTTTATCTATGAAGTAAAACGTGGTAAATGAACAGGCTTAATTTTAATTACCTTTTTATCCAGTTTTGGCTTGATGTATAGAACTGTTTAAAATTGGTCCACTGGGCTAACCTCTGTTGTGTTTTTCTTCAGGTGTGCTGGAAGCTTCCTTTAACAGATTTATTCCTTCATCAGGTACTTTCTGTTTACATGTAATCTACTTGCATATATCTAAACTTGCATGATTAATATAAATGTAATTTCACCAGCACCACAAAATGGGAATTGTGTCCTAAAGAAGTGAATGTTGTCATTCCCCCCTCAAAAAAACCCACCCCAGTCAGGTGCTATGTAATATGTTTCTCCCTCTGTCTTCTTTCCCTCACATTTTAAGGAGTGCCTGAGATTCCCACTTCCATAGCTGAAGTAGGGAGCAGATTCCAAAGCAGGGGTAGACAGCCCCTGTAAAACAAAGGATTTTGGTGAGAACTTCTGACTTACAGGCACTTTCTTCACAAAGCAACTCTGAGTAGGTTTTGTTGCTTTTGTGTGATGTGGGACTTCTGAAGTCTTGCCTGTAGAAGAAAGCAATCTTCTGGTTTTCCTCAGAGCTCAACTATAGATTGAGATGTAATATGTTGTCATGCTGATTCTCAAAACACTTCTGTCTCTATTGTTCACAAGATAGTGACAGCAGATCTGAATTCGTGTCTTGCTGTGTCTAACACAGTTGCCAGAAGTGTCTTAAATTTGCAGGTTTAATTCCAAGCCAATTTCAAGAGCTGGGGTCTTGCTTTTTGAAAACATTCTTTCAATTGTCCACCTCCTCTATCATGTACTTGCAGCCCTTAGCAGTATGTCTACTTTAACTATATCCTGAATGCTAGTCTGTTAACTCTTCAGGAAGAGTAAATGTAAATTTTCCTGCTATTTTTTATTTCTGATTTTTAATTCCTAACATCTCCCTGGCTTTAGTCACTTGTCTTCCAACCTATTGTTAAACTGTAATCTCAGGTTAACTGGCGTTTATATAAGGATCTGCATGTGCACTGCATTCTCCTGCAACCCATGCAGTACTTTGCTGTGTTTTGTTAGTCAGATAACCCAGTAGATTTATTTGGTATCTTCAGTATAGCAACTTGTAAGGAAGGAAGCAACTGAAGAGCTCCAGGAGCTTTTTTTGTCAAGTGGAAGTATTGTCAGTTTTCATTATTCAGACTCCATTATATGCAAGAAAAATTTTGGAGACTGCTGACAACTGGAAATTGTTACAGCTATCTTTGCTGTTAGTAACTCTTGGACTACTTAATGTTGCAGATAACAGAAAAGTAATGTCAGCTAAAGCTGCTTAAGTAGGAGGTACAGTTAAGACATGCCCTGTAAGACTGTTTAACAGTCTGATGCATTTAATTTTTCCTTACTGTTGTGGTGGATGGTATTGCGGATGGATTTGCTTTCTTAATTTCATTAATGATGCATTTGTTTTATCTTTGTAGAACCTGCTCCAGTTCCACCAATTCCAAATGAACAGCAGTTGGCCAGATTGACTGACTATGTGGCTTTCCTTGAAAATTGATTACCTTGCTCCTGTATTCAGAACAACTTGGGAATCCTGTGTACTGACAGTTCTAGAAATCTAAGATTTATTTCATATCTGTTAAATGTTGCAGCATCCCCTACTCAAATGTGTGAAGTATACAATGTATGTTATCCCAATTTGTGTTTTGCCAAAGCCAAGCTAGCAATTGAAACAATCTTTTAACTCCTGTAATATTTATTCAGTAGGTACACAGCAGTATTACATAGTAAGTTTTTTTTACTGACTTGTAGCTGAGAGGGGCAGAACTTTTTTCAGGTATATTAGAAATGGAGAAGAAAAATTGAGTAATGAAGCAGGTTAACTGTGAGGAATTTATGCTAGTAGGTTATGTGCTTCTATGCTGAGTATTGCAGTGCTTATCACAGATCAATTGCATGTTGAACTAAATTACAAAGAGTGGAAGACTGCCCTACCCATATCTGCAGAGAGAAAATATTTTGATGAAACAGTAACTTAAATAAGAAAACGATTTACAGTAACTCTTTTGCAAGTATATTTGTGGCATATTTATAATTGATCTTTTTTCTTGTTGGTCTTTCTGGATAGTTAAATCTTCTTGTTTTGATGTGAAAAACTTCACATTGGGAACATTTTCACAGCAGAACAATTGGAGTCATTTAAGAAAGGCAAATCTTCACTTTGAGGAAGAATTTTTACTTTTGGAAGGTTTTGAGTGACGTAGGACACCAGATACTTTGCTGGGTAACAGTACACCTTCTTGAGGCCTGTCATGTCCTGGTTCTTTTCAGTACACTGGGCCAGGATCTACAAGAAACAACTACTCTTACCTGTCTTTAAGCTTTCTGGATTACCTCTGCAGTTATTGGAGAGGAATTTAAAAATTAGAGTAGGTGTCCCTGAGTAGAGACCAGTTAGGATGGGGATGATATTTTATGCTGCAATGCCAGTTTGAGGAATATATTTTCTATACCAGAGCACTGCTGTGTTAACCTTTGAGTTGAGAGTGGATTTTAGAAGCAGAAAGATGACTTGTATTCCCAGGCTTCTTATTTGTGTAATGCTGGTAAAAAGGCTATGGGAAAATAGTGGTGCTTTAAAGGGCAGTGCATGCCTTCATTTGCGTCTCCCCTCTTTTCAACATCATATTCAGTGGTTTCATCGCAGATGGCAGGTGTGCCGTATGTTGTGATTGTTTTTTCCAGTGTGCACTACCTACTGTACATTCTCTTGTTGGGGGTGTGTTAGCAGGGAGGAATTATAAACTGTGCACTGCTGCTTTGAGAGCTCCCTTTATATGTAAACACTTACTCAAAATGATTATTTATTTGAAACCCACCTAAGACTTGGATTCCTGAATTTATCTTCAGTGATATTAAAGAACATGTTTACACTGACCTTGTGTACTTCATTTTTAATTTTCCTTAGAGTACGATTATTCTGGTTTGGCTAGTTTTTAATGAACTCTTATTGGTCTAATTTGGGTAGAGCTAGTTAAAGATTAGTGCAATACCTTGTGCCTAGACAGGTATTTTGAAGAGGTTTGTGTGCAGCAATTGTATAGTTCTATATTTAAAAAAACCACTGGTGTACCCTTCAGATGTCTTTTAAAATAGTCAAAGGCGTAAAGTACTTGAAGAGCTAAGTGAAAATTTCCCATTCTGGGTATGTATTGTGCAGCTCTGCAGTTGTTTGTAGCACACAAGAACAACCCTGCTTGCAGCAATGAAAATTAGACATTAAAGGATTACTAACCTCTTGCCCTTAATAAATCGTAATGGGAGAAGAGCAATGTAGACACTGGTAATCTGTGTGTATCTCAAATCTAGTATCAAATCTCTCTCAAATATAGTAAGCCTGACTCTTCTCTGTCCAGTTCTAACAAGCTCATAATTCTGAGATATCTGGTCTGTTGTAAAATTTAAGCTGGCTTTTAGCTTTGGGTATGGTGTTAACTCATAACTTGCCTTGAGTACTGTGCTCCCAGCCACGCTTTTTTGTTTGTACTTCTTTGGAATCCAAGCTATTTCAGGTCGTTTTCATCCTCATTGCCCTTTATCATGGCTTCTGGTTCACAAATATCCTTTTTCAGATGTGCTGCTTGTTGCCACTCTTACTAGTCATGTAGTGGACATAGCATGGCTCGTAACAACAGCAGAATATTTTCTGTTTGTTCCTGATCCTTTCAAAGATTTGCGCTGTTCTAACATCTCTTGACCACTGCCTTGTTCTCAGTGTAGTAATGACAATGACTTCAGTATCTTTCATCAGCAGTGATAACTAGGTTGGTGTGCATCATTGCATGTCTTTATTCAGGGTTTTCCCCTCTGGTTAGTGCAGTGCATGCATGGATAACAAATGGGCAGTGAAACAGTAGATGAAATTTCAGTATTGTAAGACACTTCTGGTCTTCGTAATCAGACTTGCTTTTGACTTCTTGAATAACTTTGTAATCTTGGCATTGATAAAGTTCTTTAGGTTAGCAAGGCAACAATGTTGAACATAACAGCTATTAGTAATTTATGGTAGCCTCCTCCACTACGAAAACTTACTACCTGCTACTTACCCTTAGCCAGTCCTTTCCCTTTTACTCTACTAGTTTGTATAGTTTTGGAAAAATCTGTTGTATATGAAGTAGACCATTTAGTTCACATTTGTTGGTTCTTTGTAGAAAAAGTTAATAGATTTGAAGCTGCCTACAAAACCAAACCACACTTCCTCAAATACTCTTCTATGTATTTTTGGTATTTCTCCTTTTTACTAAAGAAAATGCTGCCTGATTCCTCTGTCTAGACACTCATCTTGGTTTTCTGGTTTTAAATGGGCAGGTGAGGAACAGGCTGAGTTTAAGTCTTGGTGAAGGAGCTAGAAGTATTAAATGTTGGAAAAGTAGGGGTATTACAGCCAAATGGAATGTTGTGCTTCATGTCTGGGAAAGGCAAACAGGACAAGCTGCTTTATTGATGCTAATTTGAAGTAACACTGGAATAGGTCTTAATCTACTGCCAGCTTAATACAAATGGCTTTGAGGGAGGTTGTTAACTGTCATGAGACCTTTAATGGGCTTGTTTGGCATGTATTGGACTAAAGTCAAATTTTTACTTCTCCAACATGTTCTTAAAATTAGTGAATAATTTTATCCTGCAGCAGGCTATCAGCTGGTTCACAGTACCTATAAATAGGAAATTTACATCCAGTGGCAAGTTTATTGTAGTTCTTTGTGGAGATTGTGATACATTGTCATGATTGATTTGGTTCCTGAACTGCACTGTGCCATGGATCCTCCAAATGGGAGTGAGGGCCATCTCCAAGTACTATGAAATGATGTGCTTCTGTTTTAAAATATTGGATCAGAAAGTTTGGGTTACAGCAGGTTGCTAATGAAATTCACAATTGGATTTAACGGCTGAAGACAAGTGCAGCTTATCCATATCAGCAGAGGGTTACTAGGTAGAAAGACATGTTATTATATAGCATAGTTTCTCTAATTAGATGAAGACGACTTAACCAGTCTCTGAAATGTAATGAGAAATCTGTCCACAGAGCTGTGGTTAACCTAGCAAGCAAAGATAGGAGCTTGATAGAAAAGGTAGGAGAGTTCAGTGCTCTTGAAGGCAGTGAGTAGTCTCAGTACAGTAACTATTTTTAGGCTTGCTCTATCTCATACTATGATCTTCAGTTGAGTATACTTTGATACTGTGGAAAAGTGTAAGCCACTTTGTGACACATGGAATTACAAAAGCCCGAAGTCAGACATATTTGTAGAAAAGTTTTTTTCTCTTTTTGCTTGGGCCTATCTTGTGCTAAAATATTGCAGTCTCAAAGGGGTCAATAAGAAATTCTGCTGAGCGGAAGCATTAGTCCATTTGTTAGACATGATCTGTGTTAAAGGATTTCAGCTTATACTTTCACTGCTCTAGCAAGCCTACCATAGCTTTGTGCTTCCCTGTCCAGAGACCTATCTTGGTCAACAGATTGTGTAAATTATTTCCTAAAGTGGGATCTTTCAGCATTTTAGTACTTACCTAGGATGCTTTAACCCTGTGCTTTCAACTCAACAAAGATGATGTATCTTTGTGGTCATACTTGCTTCTTTAATTGAAGCAACTGGTGTGGGTTTTGGAGTTCTTCCAAATGCTTTTCCATCCACAGTGCTGGAACAGTGCTGGAGTGGGAGGACCTTTGGGTTAAGAAACTGTTAAGAATTCATCTGGGAGCAGAGGTTCTTGAAGGATTTTAAAAAAGAAATTCCATTTCAGTTTAGTGTTTTCCATTTTCATCTGCATCCCACATGTAATTGAAGATTGTTTCTTTGCATTTTATTAGCCTCTCCTATATGGGTCAGTGATGCTCATTTACCTGCAGTTTCAGTCTCTGTAGAGAAAGCTGTTTCAGCTCAAAGGTGGTTAAAAAGGAAGAAACTTGGTATGGAGGCAGGAAAGTAGAGCATGCCTCCCTGCTGAAGATCCTCATGGAAACCTTCAATAGGCTTTAATAACAAAGCCTAGCAGATTTTCCAGGATCTGATCAGAGCTGTCAGTAACTCAGTTAAGAAAATGAAAGCAGAATGCACACATAGAGCAACGTCTCACTGGGCATTGCAGGAGAACGGTACTGATGTTGCTGTAATGCATTTTGATCCTGCTGCAGATGCTATGCTTAGATAATGTTTTTCCTTGTTTTAGTAACCTGGATTCATTCTGAAACCCAATGGAGGTTTTTCTGCATTGCTAATCTATAAAGTATGTGGAGAAACTGGCCAGTCCAGTTTCTGAGCATTTGAGAAGCTCCTTTTAAGGGTGAAAAGGGCATCAGTTCAGCCCAAGTGCTAATTATTCCTCTAGTGGCCTGAGTTTATTCAGGTGACTGGTTTACAGTAGTAGCAGGCACAAGATATAAAGCACTGTGCTTTGGACATCTCGTTAGCTTCTTTCCTCTCACCATAAATATCTTGCAGGGCTTCCAAAATGAATGCTGCAGATTGATTATTTAAGTTAGTCATAAGAGTTCTGCCTAGGCAAGGAGAGAGCTAATAGTGTTGTCATTAAGTCTGTATTCCAGCAACCTGGTGTATGTGCAATAAAACCCTGTGTAAGACAGTAGGGGAAATCCGGAAAAAGATCTTGGGTGGGTGGTTTGTTCTGCGTGTGTCCTACCCTGCTGGAGTTGGCTGGGCCGTCATCCAGACAGCATGTTGGTATTTTGTTACTTCTAGGAGGGACTATCTGGACTGGCTGGCTTGGCCCTTCCTGTTCCAGAGCCACAAGCAATTCAAAGCATCTGATGCCCAGAGCCTGGCTTCCTGCATTGAGAGAAGCAGTCCTGAAGCCTTTGTAAGGTGTCTGAAACTATTTATTAATATGCATTTGATAATGTCCAAGAGTGACTAAAATAATGGTAAAAAGAAAGGGCTCACAAGATTTTACTCCAAATAGGCTTAGTTTTGTGAGGACTAGGGCTTGTAAGACATTGTGCAAGTCCACAATGAAGCTTTCTTCTTCAGGTCCCAGTTCGTGTCACAAATCTGTTCCCATTTACTTTCTTAAATGCTCATCTTCTAATATGTAATCTCTTGGAAGTTTTTTGTAATGTACTAAATGATTGGCAAGCTTCCTGCAGACTGTTTATGAAAGCTAAAATCAAAGCCTAGGTTTATTTAGAATCATAGAATAGTTTGGGTTGGAAGGGACCTTTTAAAGGTCATCTAGTCCAACCCCCCTGCTGTGGGCAGGGACATCTTCAACTAGATCAGGTTGCTCAGAACCCCATCCAACCTGACCTGGAATGTTTCCAGGGATGGGGCATCCATCACCTCTCTGGGCAACCTCTTCCAGTGTTTCACCACCCTCAGCGTAAAAAATTTCTTCCTTATATCTAGTCTCAATCTACCCCCCTTTAGTTTAAAGCCATTCCCCCTTGTCCTGTCGCAACAGGCCCTGCTCAAAAGTTTGCCACCATCTTTTTTATAAGCCCCCTTTAAGTACTGAGAGGCTGCAAGAAGGTCTCCCCGAAGCCTTCTCTTCTCTCGGCTGAACAACCCCAACTCTCTCAGCCTTTCTTTGTAGGAGAGGTGTTCCATCCCCCTGATCATTGTTATAATTTGTTATATTTGTCTGTCAGATGCAGTGGAAACAAAGTAAATGGTTATTCTACTAAGATACCTCAAAGTACCTAAATATTGAAGTAATAGCCTACTGTACTTTGACACCAGCTATCTTAAATCTGAGGAATACTACTGAGTACTGATGGGCCTTATGTATTTTGGAGCTGGTGCACTGGGAAATGGTGCAAGTTATCAGCCACCTTGCTGCTTTGTTGATCGAGTGCACTGGGGTTTTGTAGTTTCATGTGGTTAGCTGTGGACACTTCTTTAAAACAAAAAAAACCCCTTGCCTCT